CCTAAAACAATATTAACGTGTAAAAAAAAAAAGAACACTCATTTTTATCAAACTCAATTGATATTTTGTGCTTTCTAAAGGCTTAAAAAACAGAAGCTCCTGCTCCTGAAAGGGGAAACAATACTCCAGATACTGGAGAGAGATTCAAGAGCTAATCACTACAAAGGTATAATTTTCAAATAAACGCACACTTCAGAAAAGCTGTGTACTTAACTCCAACATGAAAAAGAAACTTTGTTCATATATGCATTCATATATTCATTTCTTTAAATACCCACCAAATTTATAATTCCCAGTTTAAACCTATATCACTTTCTCTAGAGATGACTACTGATCCTATATGAATAACTTTCTTCCTTATCTGATAACTTTTGATACAGTTGTACTACATTCTCAACGCTTTTGGCTAGCTAAACATCTTGGAAAAGAACCACTGATGCTTTGAAAGTAGAAATAGTTGTGATAAATGTTTTCATCTTTAGCAAATTGAGTTTTATTATTGTAAGAACCAAAAATAAGCATCAGAAATATTTTTAAGTTAGCTAGAACAAATGGATATATTATACCTTGCATGACGGACCTACTTCCTTAATCCAAGTCAAGAGGAATAACTTCGCTCTCAAGGAAATTACTATATAGCGGCAAAGACAGAACAAGTAGACAGAAGACACATACAATAACATAGAAATTAAGTGTCTTAACAGAGGGAAAAATTACACTATAAAAGCATTCCCAAAGGGTATTCGGTACTGTAATCTAATAAATCTAGGAAATACTGAAATATAGTAAATAAATTTAAACAGATTAAAATGCTAATCACCACTGGCATCCTCCAATAGAAGGCAGCATTTCCTAAGTTTATTTGACCAGGGCATCCTGATTTACACAGCATGTTGAAGGTCTACTGTTCTGTGGATAGATTTTGGGAATTGCTATCTTTGGGGATTTAGAAGAAGGAGAGGCTTCCTTAAACTAAGGGGATCAGGAAATACATCATATAAGAACTAACATCTACACTGGGGCTAGAAAGACATGTAGGATTAAGTCACTGTGGAAAGAGAGACTGCTAGTGAAAAGGCCATTTCAGGCAGGAAAACAGAGCACTTGCAAAGAACTGAGATTTATGAGTGGCTCAAAGAAAATGTAGCATAAGCAGCATGAAAATGGGTTGTAGAGATAAAGGTTTAGCAAGGACACTGGATTTTGATAAAGAAGGTTTTGTATGCCAAAAACCTTGAGAGTTCAGTTGGAAGGAATGTACAAGTTTACACTTGTTGACCACAGTTACATCAAGTAAGGCCTTTGTTCCAATCAAAAGACCTCAGAGTTTAGACGATAAATTATTTGATCAATTGGTAATACAGAAGTAATGATTTTGTAAGTTCTTATCATTTAAATATAGATAATAGATTAAATTATATGTCAGGGATATGCTTCAAAATAATTTGGGAAGGGTATAAATGAAAAAGATTGTCCACGAGTTGGTACTTATTGAAACTAGATGATAAATACATGGTGGTTCATTATACTACCGTCTTTAAATAATTGTATATATTTCCCCAAATAAATTTTTTTTAAAAAATAACATTTAGGGACTGTCCTGGTGGCACAGTGGTTAAGAATCCGCCTGTCAATGCGGGAGACACGGGTTCGAGCCCTGGTCCAGGAAGATCCCACATGCCGTGGAGCAACTAAGCCCGCAAGCCAAAACTACTGAGCCCACGTGCCACAACTACTGAAGCCCGCGCGCCTAGAACCTATGCTCCACAACAAGGGTAGACCCCGCCTGCCGCAAACAGAGAAAGCCCGTGCGCAGAAACAAAGACCCAACACAGCCAATAAATAAATAATTTTTTTTAAAAAAAGAAAAAAGGCATCAAAAAAATAACACTCATAGGAAATGAAATGGTATATCTATGGCTTTAGTAATTTAATAAAATGCAATATTTTTGCCATATCACTAAATGACTAATGTTTATCAAATAAGCAAAATGACTGAAAATCAAACGTTCATTTCACCATTTTAACGTGACTAAAAATTCACCTTTCTACAAGAACTTCATGATTTCAAGTAAGACTGAAAAGTAAGAAGAATACATACTATAGTCTCTCATCTTCTGCTTAAAGGTATTTTCACTCTTATTTCCACTATAAATGGTTTAATTGAGAAAGTACAGTAAAATCCCATGAAAATATGAAATTTCTGTAATGTGCCAGTTTCTATATTGATCCTGCCAATTGACTCAAGGCCTTTAGGTACTTTCTGTAAGTTAACCCAAGTCAGGACATTCCAAAAACAAATTCTTCTATCGCAAAATCTCAGACTGCAAAATACTCTCCCAGAAAAGCTGCAAAATCATCAATGTGCAAAAACAAAACTCTCTTAAAAAATAAATTGTAATTATAGCCTACAGTGCATAGGGTTTTGTTTAAATCTTCTTATTTGTAGGTCCTTATTTGAAACAAATACATTTCTATCACCCATTAGTTAAATAACAGACATGCTGGTTGAGACAAATTTCACTCATACATAGATATAAACAATTAAAGATACAGGTTATATCTACATGATTTTATGTAAAATTTAATTAGATCATCTAAGCTTAAAAATTACTATTATAATATAAATATAATATTTACTATTATAATATAAATAATACATTGCCCATTTTCTCCAACAAAACAGAGTATTGTGAAAAGCCTATTCTGATTCCAATGTATCAAAATTATTACAAAGCCTATGTCCTTTGACTCTAACTATGAAATACACAAATCTAATTATTTTAATTCTTTCTTTATAATAAAGTTTAATTTTTTCTTTTAAAATTCTATAGTGGGTATTAATCAATGAAAAATCTATAAGGTTTATTTATCCACTAAAAAAAACTAGCATTATTATTTATGCTAGTTTTTTTTTAGTGGATAAAGAATAATAATAATATTATTAACTCTCCATTAGTAACTTACTTACATATATTAACTTCTCTTTAGTAACTGACAACTGACTTTATACCCTACCATTTATTACAGAGAAGAAAACTGAAATCTATTAGCAAGTGTAATATTACTTTCAACATGCACAGCGCAGTAGAGCCCAGTGTTTAAATAAGGTTTAAATTTCAAAACATATATTGTCATTTAAATAAACTATCTTAACAAATAATGATTTGAGAGTTCTCCCCAATTTAACACTCAGCTGAGGCAGCAAGAGCTATCTGTGAGTATAAAATTAAAATGGACCTGCAACAGAGATGTCTAACTTTGCAGAAGCCAACACACACATATCTTTGATTAACGATAAACAACAGAAGACTACTGATAAGATGTAAAGACAAATACTCAGGAAAAACTGGCATCTAAATCTGGCTGAAATATTCATACTCTGTTCTAATTCACTCCTCTGTAGCTCACACACCTGGAAGAAATGGAAAGACTCATACATGATTCCTCTATTTCTCTACTTGTTTCAATTTTAATAGTGAGTGACATAATTATAAGGTAATATATTAACGCATAAGATCTGTAAGAATTAATATGCTAAAACAGGCCATGTAATTTTCAAAGCTTACTATATTATATATATACTACATTTTTGAATGAAGATGTTATTAACAAATGTATGCTCCCCCAAAACTTTTAATTTATAGATAAAACAATAAAAGATCCTTCCTGGTAATCTATATTTAATCATTATTAAAACATCAGTAAATTTCTGATCAGTATGAAATAACTGACTGATAAGTGGGTTAATGTACTCAGTCATTCAAGAAATAGTTAATGAGAGCCTACATTGTGCCAGCCAATGTCCTAGGTGCTAGAGATACTAATGTAAATTTGTAAATGGTGTAAACTTGTGATAAAACAAAAATATGTCAATGAACATGATCTCCATTATTATCTCTGTAGATCTCTGAGAGAAAAGATTACAAGATCAAGGAGGTAAGTTGTATTCTTCTTCATAGGCTACAAAATGATAAACTATATATTACAATGAATTATTCATGTGTTATATATAGTATAGTATATATTATATAATGTATGCAATAACATATAGATTGCAAGATATTAACAAGAACATGAGCTCTAACCAGAAAGGAATAATGTCTCCTACTCAGAACTTAATACATGGATTAACATCTGATGAGTAAGTGTGTAAATAGTTCTGATATTTCAGGAGATGCAACAGTATGATTGGGATTCCCTACACATAACAAAAATGAGCTCTGTTCCAACAGAACTATTTCTGCAGCATACACATAACAGATTCTCTGAAAAAACAGCTATAGCTTTGATGGTGAGTGTTAAGAGTTAAAATACGAAAGAGTGAAAACTATTGTTTTACTAGGCTGTAGTAAAAAAAAAAAAAAAAAAAAAAAAAATCTAACTCCAGACAAGGCCCCTGTTGGAATTTCCAGCTTGCTGGACTGCCTTGCAAATCTTGGACTTGCCAGCTCCCACAACTGCACGGGCCAATTTTTTAAAAAATAGATCAACTGATCAAACAATCACTCTCTCTGTATGACTGTGTCTGTGTGTGTGTGTGTATGTGTGTGTGTGTGTGTTTGGATCCAGAATCTAGGCTTATTTCTGCAAATCCAGGCAGAGTTGTGACAGGTGGGGGAAAGAAGGAGTGAAAGACTGACACATTTCCCTCATGAATGATAATCCAGTTATGTCCACAAGTATGTTATGTTAATTAAGTAATTTAACAACGTAGCTACACAAATCTAAATTAATCACAACGACTCAAGGAAAATATATAAGGAAAAGCTGAGGTATACAACAAGGCTTCCTCAGTAATATGAAGAAAATGCACTGTGGGTTGAACACATATACCATAAAATTATATTACTAAATAAGACATCACAGAAACATAAAAATACAGTAACTGAATAAGCATGAAATACTGATGTTATGATTCCAATTAGTCTGCTGATTCTATCAAGTAAGTAGTATAAACTCAATGCATATGATAGGAAATAAATCAAGTTGATACGTACTTGTGACAAAAAATTTTTTTGTGAAAGTACAGCTATCAAAGGCAGCAATTTTCTCCTGCAATACTACGACAAGGATCCTAAAATTAGAGGGAATAAACCACAAAAGAAAATGTTAATGTGAAATTCTATAAACTGAACTATAAATAAGTTAAATCATCTAGATTTAAGTAAGTATATACCAAAGGAATTTTTAAAAATCAAACGCTTCTTAAAGCATATAGGCTAGAAACATCTGCTTATTAAATGTCAAAATACAGTCACAAAATCCTTAATATGATCAAGATAGACAAGATGAAAGGAAGAAAAGTCACAGGAGAACTACACCTCAAAATAAAATTTCATTTTCATTCATTATAAATCAAATGAACCGATCTTCATTAAGAATGTATGAGATCAATAAACTGCTGGCTATTTACTAAAAGTGTTTTTCCAGTGCTGGCTCAAAGTCATGGAATTAAACATAAAATGGATTTATACAACCTGGCACTTAAAATGATTGCTGAATTTCCCAACACAAGAGCCAAAATGAGAGCAGGAGGGAGGGAGAAAGGGAGGGAGGGAGGGAGGGAGGGAGAAAGGAAGCTCAGATAACTATTATTCAGTGTAAATGAGACATTTCTGATTATTGAAATATTAAAATTAATCAGAATCTGTATTTCTCCCAAAGTTCAAGATTTATAAATAATTAGGGAAAAGTTATAAATTTTCAGAATTAAAATGTATCTGAAATGAAGTTATTTTATAAACTGCATTTTAGAGTATTGCTCCTTACAACTGTTGTTAAATCTTTAACTACTAGATCCACCCATTTAAAAATGTTGATTTTTTAAATTTATTTTATTTATTTATTTATTTATTTTTGGCTACATTGGGTCTTCGTTGCTACACATGGCTTTCTCTAGTTGCGGCGAGCCGGGGCTACTCTTCATTGCGGTGCTCGGGCTTCTCACTGCGGTGGCTTCTATTCTTGCAGAGCAAGGGCTCTAGGCACACGGGCTTAAGTAGTTGTGGCTCGTGGGCTCTAGAGCACAGGCTCAGTAGTGGCACACGGGCTTAGTTGCTCCGCGGCATGTGGATCTTCCCGGACCAGGGCTCAAACCCATGTCTGCTGCACTGGCAGGCGGATTCTTAACCACTGTGCCACCAGGGAAGCCCCAAAATGTTAACTTTTAATAATTTAATATATCACTGAATAATTACATTATCCCAGAAATAACATGAGTATACCTCCTATGTCATATATAATTTTGTTTGATGTTATTTTAAGTTTAAATATACATAATAACTAGATCTTCATTATGAATTACACACTATCACTGAACTTTTCTTTGTCTTATTTCATATTTTTGTACTGAATTCAAATATTTTTATCATTAATATCAAAGTCTTGGTCTTTTAGTTTGTATTTGTCAGGTATGTGTTTACCCTTCCTTTTACATTCAAACTTTCTGAGTCACTTTTGAAATATCTCTTTAAAATCTAACCTGAGAGTCTTTTATTATAAAACTTATTTTTTGTTTTCCATGTTCCATGTGTTTGCTCTTTAATGAGATTCATAATTTGCAGCCATGACCTTGATAAGACATTTAGCATCATGGGGCTAGGAAAAATCTAGCTGGTCCCTCTTTTAGCTCCATTGTGAAGTGCAAAAAAATAAGAATATTTAAAAGCCTTTTTTACATTTCAGAAATAAGCTTTGTTTTGATGAATGCTAACAGGAAAATTACATTTCCCATCATAAACCAGTAAACATATAGAAGTACATATATTAAACAAAAAGTTATATATAAAATGTTATGTTATACATATAAAAAGGTTCCTCAAAGCAATATTTAACCTTCATATGTTTGCTCAGGCACTTTTATTCTTTTCCATTTCATTATTTCACTAATGGGTCAAGACAAAAAGTTTGAAAACATTAAGAAATCTTAAGAGCTACTTATATTTGGCAGAATTCCGAAGACATATTTGTGACTTTTTTATTATTATTATATCAAAGTCAATGATAATGGAAATGCACTACGTGCACAGGAGGTATGTTATCTTGCACAAGAAACACCTGAAAAATTGCTTACCTTTTGTTGCAATGGAGATCATAGATAGGTGTTTTAAACTGAATGGACTTGACCATCTCCCCAGTACGAAGTGAATATAAATCCACACAACAGTAAGGTGGACTTGTGCTAAAAAATAAATAAATACATACATACATAAATAAACAAATAAATAAAGACAAAAGCCATTATGTTTTAACAGGTGGGAGGGGCAATAAATTTTCTTACTAACATAATACAAGCAATTGATTTGGACTTTAATCAACAGAATTAGCAATTGCATAATGATGAAATACTGAAAGTTTTCACCCTAAAATCAGGGATTAGAGAAGAACACTTGAAGAATATGGCCACTCTACTCAACACAGTATAGAAGGTATGTGCATAAGAAATTACTACAAGAAAGAAATAAAGCTGCAGTTATTTGTGAGAATTTCATTGTATAAGTATAAAACCTAGTAACACAAATTGCAATATATACACAGACAAACCCATAATAAAAGACAAACCATTAATATAAGGGTTAATATGTAGATTGATACAGTTCAACCCTAATCAAGAATCTATCAGAAACGAGACCTCTTTCTAAAATGTACATAAATACGCATTCTAAATGATAAGATTTAAATTATAAAGACGTGTTCCTTCATACTAGAACAGATGAAGAGATCATCAATGTTTTCACCTTAAGAAAGTAGGAAAAGAGCAAGTTAAATCAAATGAAAGTGGAATGAGGGAATGAATAAAATACAACAAATCAATGAAACAAAACTTGAGTAAGCAAAGAAAAAAGTAAACCCAATTCTTTGAAATAGATAATTTGAATATTCCAGTATCTATAAAAGAAACCAAACTCATAATTTAAAACTTCTTACAAAGAAATCCTTAAAAATGGCTTCATTTGTAAATTCTACTAATCATTTAAACAAAAAAGTTTAGATATTCTACACAAACTCTTTTATAAGATAGGAGTCACCAACTTATTTTATGAGGCCAGTAACACATGATCCCAAAAATAAATACCTCACAAGAAACTACCGATATATTTATATGTCTCATGAATATACATAAAAAATCCTCAACAAAAACATTAACAAGTTGGGACTGCCCTGGTGGCGCAGTGGTTAAGAATCCACCTGCCGATGCAAGGGACACGGGTTTGAGCCCTGGACCAGGAAGATCCCACGTGCCACAGAGCAACTAAGCCCGTGCACCACAGCTACTGAGCCTGCGCTCTAGAGCCTGCAAGCCACAACTACTGAAGCCTGCGCACCTAGAGCCTGAGCTCCGCCACAAGAGAAGCCACCACAATGAGAAGCCCGTGCACCGCAAAGAAGAATATAGCCCTCGCTCGCCGCAACTAGAGAAGAAAGCCCGCGCGCAGCAATGAAGACCCAATGCAGCCAAAAAAAATAAATAGGAAGCAGATCAGTGGTTGCCAGGGACCAGAAAAGGAGAGAAGCTACAGAGTACAAAGTGGCATGATGGGTGCCACTTTTAGGGCGACAGAAATGTTGCTGTGTCTTGATTGTGCTAGGGACTTACACAAGTGCATACAATTGGTAAAAGTGGAGATGGGAGAGAATCTAGTAAAACTTGAACTTCAACCTCTAAAATTGACACAAGGCAAAAATTCTTTTCTTAATGTTCCCAACTAATTAATCCAGTCCTCTGCTGAGAAGCAATGAGTTAATAATGAACGAAATCTAACATTTTGCCAGACCAACTGGGAAGGAAAAAACAGCTTGTCACCTTCAATTAGCAGCTCATTATAGCCACGGTACACTAGAAACTTGAATTCTGATCATTTCACTGGCATCCATACAATGTCACAACTGAGATTCTTCCTGCAGAGAGCCTTCAATAGAAGTAGACAAAACAAATGCTGTGAAGGCTCAGTTTAGAGTTGAATGAACAAGATTTGGTAGATCTAAAAATTCTATTTATATATGGAAAAAACCTCTTATTCAATGCCTAATAGAAAAAGATAATTCTTTTAAAATCAGAATTTTCAGGAAGTCACACATTCATAAAGGAGTCATGCTATCTGCCAATAACACAGTTGTGTACACGCCTGACATATCCTTTTGTTCTCTATTTTCTCTCTTTTTAAAAGCCTTGACTATTTCCCTGAGACACAGCAAGACAATCTTAATTTTCCTCATGGGTAGGCTGATGAGAAAGCTTTCTATAACATCAGCAGAATGCATGCCCCATAACAGAAAGGACGTGTGTTATTCTAAAATATAGAAACGAGCTTTTACTTTGTACTCTAGTATACACCAAGCAGTGTCAAAAGCTGTATACAGAAGTCTTCATTAGATTTCTAGAGCTCAAATGGGTTAACATTTTTACAGGTTTGCTCCTGACATTTAAACCTAAAATTGTGACTTCACTTTAAGATAAAACCTAATTAATACTTTAAGGAAAAAAAGTTCGCATAGAAATGCAGAGAATCTAATTTAGAATGTAACTGAATCTATTGCAAGCAAAACCAGAGTTGGAAAGAAAAGCAGAAATGACGTAATTTGTATTATTAAATCGTTGGTTAAAGGACTCTAAACTGTGCCCAGGCACCACTGCCTTTCCAACACATAAATATCGACAGGGGTAATATAAAGTTATTTAGTACTTTTAACGATAAATATATAATAGAAATGAATGCAAATTCTCCTTAACTGACCTTCCCTTTACCTATGTAACTTGTTTTATAGTGAGGAACCAGGACATATATTGAAAATTTTTGCATTGCAGCAATCTGTTACCTGCTGTATACATAACCTATACACATAAAGGAAGTTATAAAGCTTTTATTAGCAAAGGACTAGTCCTCCCAGAGCCAAAGGTATGGAATTTACAGTTCATTTCCGTGAAGAGAGTTGACTACAATTATTTAAAGAGTAAAATTTTTTAAAACTTCCATTACTGAAAGTGAAAAGGTTAAATTAAATATAAAACAAAATAGTTAAACTGGATTTCCTAAAAGCAAATCCTGAAACTATAGCATAGAAGATAAACCCAAGAAGAAAACACTAAATGTTTTCATCTAGGTACATTGCCTATTTCATTATTTCTTACTTTCTCTGTAATCCTTCCCATCACATTTTTTAAAAAGTTTTAATATGCTTTATTTTTTAGAGCAGTTTTTGGTTCACAACAAAATTGAGAGGAAGGTACAAAGATTTTCCATATAGCCTCTGCCCCCATTCATGCATAGTCTACCCCATTATCAACGTCCCCTACCAAAGTGGAACATTTGCTACAACCTATAATGACACAATATAATCACCCAAACTCCATAGTTTTCATTATGGTTCACTCTTGGTGTTGTACATCGTATCGGTTTTGGACAAATTTATAACGACATATATCCAACATTACAGTAGCATACAGAATAGTCTCACTGCCCTAAAAATCCTTTGTTCTCTGCCTGTGCATCCCTCCTGGCGAACTCTGATCTTCTTACTGTCTTACTGTATTGCCTTTTCCAGAATGTTGTTTGGTTGGAATCATACAGTATGTATACTTTTCAGATTGGCTTCTTTCACTTAGTAATACACGGGTTTTTTTGGTTTTTTTGTGTTTTTTTTTTTGCGGTACGCGGGCCTCTCACTGTTGTGGCCTCTCCCGTTGCGGAGCACAGGCTCCGGACGCGCAGGCTCAGCGGCCACGGCTCACGGGCCCAGCCGCTCCGCGGCATGTGGGATCCTCCCAGACCGGGGCACGAACCCGCGTCCCCTCCACCAGCGGGTGGACTCCCAACCACTGCGCCACCAGGGAAGCCCAGTAATACACTTTTAAAGTTTCCCCCCTTTCTTTTCATGGCTTGATAGCTTTTAGTCCAGAATAGCATTCCATTATCTGGATGTACCACATTTTATTTATCCATTCACCTACTGAAGGACATCTTGGTTACTTCCAAATTCTGGCAATTATGGATAAAGCTGATATAAACACCTGTGTGCAGTTTTTTGGGCAGACGTAACTCCTTCGGGTAAATACTATGCAGGACAATTGTTTGACTATGGTAAAAGTATGTTTAGTTTTGAACAAAACTGCCAAACTGTCTTCCAAAGTGGTTTTACCATTTTGCATTCCTACCAGAAATTAATGAGAGCTCCTGTTGCTCCACTTTACCAGCATTTGATATATTCAGTGAACTGAATTTTGGCCAGGTGTGTAGTAGTATGTCCTTGTTGTTTCCCTGATGACATATGATATGGAGCACCTTTTCATATGTTTACTTGACATCTGTATATTGTCTTTGAGGTGAGGTCTTTTGCCCAATTTTTAATCAGGTTGTTCATTTTCTTATTTTTGATTTTTAAGAGCTTTGTGTATTTTGGATAACAGTCCTTTATCAGATATGTGTTTTGCAAGTGTTTTCTCCCATCCCAGTCTGTGTTTTTGAAGAGTGGGAGTATGTAATTTTAATGAAGTCCAAGTTTTATTCAGAAAATTGAAACTGTATAGGACAAACCTCGAAAAATTTCCAGAATGAAGAAGAAATAAGAGATGAAATGAAAGATAGCAGATTATAAAACTGAATATAGAGATTCAATTTATAAAAATTCATAATCCTGAAGAAATTCTACGTCAAGACTGCAGTATCAGTCTCTACCTGACAGTTTCCAGCCTGCTAGCCTACTCTACTTCTTACCTGCCAGCCCAGTCACATAAGCCAATTCCTTGAAATGAAAATCACATGTGTGTTTCTGTATATGCGTGTGTGTACACTGAATGATATACCAGGGAATCTAGAATACAGCACACATGCCCAGAGCCAATGCCGGCTCAACAAAGAACTGTGAAGACATTAGTCTTGCATCTCTGGCTGAGCTTTTGACTGCACAAGCCAGAGGTAAAGGCTACAGCAGAGCTGTAGATGGTATCACTACACACTCAAAGGAGTGTCCCAAACACAGTCTTTACAAAAAGAGTTTGAAAAAGTCAATAAACAGTGTGTGGCTGCAGACCTCAACAAGCAAAAGAGCAAACCCTGGGGAGGGGAGGACAATATGACGTTCAGAGTTGCCACATTATGATATTCAAAATGTCCACCAGGGCTTCCCTGGTGGCGCAGTGGTTGGGGGTCCGCCTGCCGATGTAGGGGACACGGGTTCGTGCCC